TAATGCTGGCCTTGTAAAATGAATTTCTTCCATTCTCTTCAATTTTTGGGAAGATTTTTGAGAAAGTTTGGTAGTAATTCTTTAAATGTTTGGTAGAATTTACCAGTAAAGCCATCTGGTCCTGAATTTTTTGTAGGGAGGTTTTTGATTACTTATTAAATCTTGTTAGTAAATGTTCTGTTCAGATTTTCTATTTTTTCTTGATTCAGCCTTGGCAGGTTGGTGTATTTCTAAGAATTTGTCCATTTTTTAGGTTGTCCAATTTGTTGGTGTGTAATTGTTTGTAGTAGTCTCTTATGATCTTTTGTATATGTGTGATACAAGCTGTAATGTCTCTTCATTCATTTATGATTTTATTTGAGTTCTTTCTCAGTTTTCTTGGTTGGTCTAGCTAAATGTCTATCTTTTCAAAAAACCAGCTTTTAGTTTCATTGATTTTTTTTTTTAATTTTTATTTCATTTATTTCTACTTCATTCCTTTCTTCCTTTTTTTTTTTTTTTTTCTTCCTTTGACTAACTTTGGGCTTAGTTTCATTTTATGTTTCTAGTTCCCTGATGTGTAAAGTTAGGTTGTTTATTTGAGTTTTTTATTATTTCTTAATGTTGGTATTTATTATTTTGAACATCCCTCTTAGAAATGCTTTTGCTGCATCCCTTAAGCTTTTGTATTGTGTATTTCCATATTAATTTGTCTAAAGATAATGTTTTTATTTTTTCTTTGATCCATTTGTAGTTCAATAGCATGTTGTTTAATCTTCACATATTTGTCAATGTTCCAAGTTTCTTCTTGTAATTGATTACTAGTTTGATACTATAGAAAAGATGCTTAATAAGATTTCATTTTTAAAAATTTATTAAGACTTGTTTTGTGACCTAACATGTTGTATCTTGGAGAATGTTCATGTGTACTTAAGTATTCTCTTACTGTTACAATGTCTTATAAATTTCTTTTGTGTCCATATGATCTAATGTGTAGTTTAAGTCTTAAGTCCAGTGTTTTCATATTGATATTCTTTCTAGATGATCTATCCATTTTTGAAACTGAGGTATTAAGGTTTCTACTATTATTGTGTTGTTGTCTATTTCTCCCTTCAGGTCTGTTATTATTTGCTTTATATATTTAGGTGCTTCCATGTTGGATAGATAAATATTTTAAAATCCTACAACCACTTGTTGGATTGACCCCTTTAGTCTTATATAATTACCTTCTTTGTCTCAAATGCACTCTTTTGCTGGGAACGCTATTTTGTGTGATGTAAGTGTAAATATTCTTGCTTTCTTTTAGTTTTCTTTTGCCTGGAATATCTTTTTCCATCCCTTTCCTTTCAATCTGTATATATCCTTAAGACATATAAGAGAACTTAGTCCCTTACATTTAAAGTAATTATAGATGGATGTGGACTTAACTGTCATTTTGTTAATAGTTTCTTGCTGTTTTGTAATTCCTTTGTTCCTTTTTTAAATCTCTTTGTGATTTGATACTTGTCTATAGTGGTGTGCTTAGATTTCTTTTTGTTTACCTTTTGTATATATGTTACAGGTTTTTGCTTTCTGGTTACCATGAGGCTTATGTAAAACATTTTATATTTGTGATAGTCTGTTTTAATTTGGTATCAACTTATGTCAAATGCATACTGAAGCTCTCTTTACTATACCTCAGTGCATTTTGTTTTTGATATTATAATTGACATCTTTTTACGTTGTGTATCCATTAACAAATTATATTGTCTTTTAGGCTTCATACTAGATTTACAAGTGATTTACCTACCTTCCTTACAAATTATGTTAATCTGATTTTAACTGTGAACAGTATTTACCTTTACCAGGGAGATTTATTCTTTGTTTTCTTGTTACTAATTTGTTTCATCCTTTTGTTTGCAGTTTGAAGAAGTCATCTTAACATTTATTACAAAGCTGGTCTAGTATTGATGAACTCCTTAAACTTTTACTTTCCTAGAAAACTTTTTATCTCTCCTTCAACTCTATAGGACAACTTTGCTGGGTAGAATATTTTAGGTTGGTAGTTTTTTCTTTAGCACCTTTATTGAACTTATTACCTGCAAAAGTTTTTCAGATTTTGCTGAAAAATCTGCTGGTAATCTTATGGAGACTCCCTTTTACATAACATAAATTTTTCTTTTGCTGCCTTTAAGATTCTGTCCTTGTCTTCAACTTTTGACAATTTAATTATAGTGTATCTTGGTTTGGATTTACCTTGTTTGAGACTCTGTGGGCTTCCTATATCTGGAGTTCTGTTTCTTTTCCTGTGTTAGGAAAGTTTTCAGCCATTATTTATTTGAATAGGCTTTCAGCCCCTTTCTCTTTTTCTTTGCTTTCTGGGACCCCATAGTAAATATATTGATGTACTGGATGGTGTCCCACAATTTCCTTAAGCTTCACTCACTCTTTTTCATTATTTTTTCTCTTTATGTCCCTCTTTGGATGACTTTCACTGCCCTGTCTTCAAATTTGCTGATTCTTTCTTCCATTTGATCTAATATGTTGTAAAATCCCTTCTGTTGAATTTTTCAGCTCACTTATTTATTTTTAAAAAAAAAATTTTTTTTTCAACGTTTATTTATTTTGGGGACAGCTCACTTATTTAATTCGTCAGCTCTGTGATTTCTGTCTGGTACTTCCCTATATTTTTTATCTCTGTTGAAATTTTCATTTAGTGAGCATCTTTGTAATCATTATTTTGTGCTCTTTATCAGGTAAATCACTTCTTTCCCTTTTATTAAGATCTGTTTCAGAGGTTTCATTTTTTTGTTTGTAATATATTTCTCTGTTTCTTCATTTTTCTTAATTCTCTGTGTTGGCTTCTGTGCATTAGATAAAACAGTCACATGTCCCAGTCTTGATGGAATGGTCTCATGTAGATGCTGAATCTTATTCAGCCTGGCCCTAGCTCTTGGTTGTTTCTCAGACCTTTGTGGTTGTCCAAGCTGCCGTCTTCATGACTCCCAGTAGTTGAGAGTATTTCAGGATCTTTCAGTGTCTCCAAGTGGAGGATCAGTCACCACCTATATGCTGGCTGAATGAAAGCTGGACCCTCAGGTAGCAGCTTAAAAAAAATTTTTTTTTTTTTTTAACGTTTATTTATTTTTTTGGGAGAGAGAGACTCAGAGCATGAACGGGGGAGGGGCAGAGAGAGAGGGAGACACAGAATCAGAAACAGGCTCCAGGCTCCGAGCCATCAGCCCAGAGCCTGACGCGGGGCTCGAACTCACGGACCGCGAGATCGTGACCTGGCTGAAGTCGGACGCTTAACCGACTGCGCCACCCAGGCGCCCCCAAAAAATTTTTTTTTAATGTTTATTTTTGAGAGAGACAGAGACAGAGTGTGAGTGGGGGAGGGGCAGAGAGAAAGGGAGACAGAATTTGGAGCATCCTCCAGGCTCTGAGCAAGCTGTCAGCACAGAGCCTGATGCTGGGCTTGAAGTCACAAACTGTGAAATCACAACCTGAGCCAAAGTCGGATGCTTAACCAACTTAGCCACCCAGCTGCTCCTCAGGTATCAGGTAGCAGCTTTTAAGTATGCAAGTAGATGTGTCTTTCAGGGCAAGACTGGGATCTGGGTGTTTCCCTCTCTTCCCTTTGTTCTGAGCCCTGGGGGTTAGCCAATTAAGAAACTTAAGAACTATTTGTTTGCTTTTGTCTTATGGGACCTGTGAATGCCATCCTTGCTTGCTCCCAGAACCAAGCAATCAAGTAGTGTATCCCCTGGGTAGAAGCCACGGTACTCAGAGTGCCAGATGTGTGTACAAGCTCCTTCCAGGAAGCTGTTTGTGATTTATAGTGATCTACTAGGGGAATGCACATTTGGTGTCTGCTGGCTTCCCAGTTTTCATGCAGGACTGACATCCGTCTGTAGATGTATGCTAAATTAGAAGCCTCATCCTCTGGCAGCAGCTTTTAAATTATGTAAATAGGCTTCTTTCTGGGAATGACTGGGGAGATGGGTGTTTCTGTCTCCTTCCTGTGTGTTGAGCCCTGGGGAGATAGCTACTTAAGAACTATTTATTTGTTTGCTACAATCCTGTTGAGGATTGTTGAGTCTGCTAATGCAAGACTCACTGGCCACCAGAGTTGGGCTATCACAGGGTGTGTCTTTTGGGCAGAAGTTGCAAAGCCCAGGCACCAAATGTGTACGCAAATTCCTTTCAGGAAGATACCAGTGACTGGGAGCTGGGCAGAGAGAGAACACAAAGATGGTGCCCACTGGCTTTCTTGGTCTCTAGAGAGAATTACAGCTGATCCCTAGATGTGTGTTACCCTAAGGCTGCACCTTTTAAGGTAGCCAAATAGGCCTGTTTCAGGAAAGGCTGGTAGAGATGGGCATTTTTGTCTGTTGCCTCTGAGTCTTAGACGCATAGCCACAGTGAGTCCCTGAAGCCCACCAAGAACTGTTTCTTTATTTGCTGTAGTTTTCTGGGTCTTGGGGACACAAGCCCCAATGGCTTTCAGAGCTAGATGTTTTGGGGGCTCATCCCTGAGTTAGAAGTCTTAAAAGTTGGGGCACTAGATGTGGGTTGAAACCCTTTACTCCTCAGGGAGAAGCTGGTAGTTGTGAATTCCCTCTCAGTTGTATGTCAGTCTGCTGGGAGTGGGGTTTATGGAGAGAGTGTTTCTCAGCTTCTCCTACCCATTCAATGTATGTTTTTTCTTATTTGTCCTTTGGATTTCTTTCAGCAGGACTTGTTTCATGTTTAGCTGTAGATTTAATATGTCTGTGAGAGGATGTGAGTTTGAGATTTTGTTGCCATCTTTGACTAGAATCAGATTTGTGATTTTCAAATGTTATCCCTTTGAACGAATAACAATATAGTGAATTAACTGGGATGCCAGTGATATCTAAAATATAACACATAAGTGAGTCTTAAGAGATATATAACTTCATTTTCTGCATGATGTAACTTTTTTAGTAAATATACCATTAGAAAATACAGTAGTTCCAGTAGTTCCCCCTTATCCACAGTTTTCCTTTTCATGTTTTCAGTTACCCAGAGTCAACCAGTCTATAAGCAGATGACTCTCCTTCTAACGTCAAAAGGTCAGTAGTAGCCTAATGCTTTGTCACAGTGCCTGTGTTGTTACCTCACTTTATCTCATCATGTAGGCATTATATCATCTTACATCATTACAAGAAAAGGGATGGTAAAATATATTTTCAGAAAGAGAGGCCATATTCACGTTATTTTTATTATGGCATATTGTTACAATCTGTTTTATTTTCAACTATTGTTGTTAATTTCTTACTGTGTCTTATTTATAAATTAAACATCATCATTGGTCTACATGTATAGGAACAAACATAGTGTATATATAGGGTTTGGTGCTGTCTGCAGTTTTAGTCCACTGGAGGTCTTGAAATATATACCCTACGGAAAAGAGTGGAGGGGAGACTATGGTATGTTTGGAATGATAGCAAAAGGCTTCTTTGTGTTTATTGAAATCGTACATAAATCTAACTTGTGTCATACTCGTCTCATAGTTACGTAAAATAAATGGCATGGTGAAAGAGAAGAAACATAAAATGAGAGTTTCTGCAAAATTACTGAAGGAAAGAAGTGCAGTGTACTTTCTAATGTACTTTTCAATGTTAAAAAAAAATTGAGAATTCCACAACCCAAGGAAGTTGAGAAAGCTTCTTGCGCTTATGTAACAATTTTTAATCTATTAGTTGCAGAGCAAAAACAATAGGAAATTAATTAATTTTATATAAAAAATAGCTTTTAACTATGGAGTCCTCCTATCATTCTTCAGTTTGTTAAGCCTACTTTTGGTTGTTATTATTAAAAAAAAAAATGTAATTAGGCAGTTACAAGAAAGCTTCAGAACAGCTGTAATTACAGCTGCAGATTTAGTCAAAATAGGGGTTTTGAAAGGCTCCTCACTCTCCTTTCGCATCTCTTTCCCTTACCCCAAGTAACCCAAATTTAGTTGTAAAAGTTTTGGTGAGCTCAGGATTCCCGAAACTGGAGTGCCATATGTTTAACTGCATGCAGATGTGATGATTATATGTGACTCTTCATTAAGGTTTCTGGAACCTTTTTAGTTCTATTGCTCTATGCACAGTTAAATGATTTTTATCAGCTTGTTTCTGTATTTAATTTTATAGATATACATGTATTCCAAACACACTTTAATGATTTTTATCAAGATTCTGGCATCTGCTAAAACTATTTAGGGGGATAATAGTTTTTATATTCTAAATTTGACATAATGTTGATATTATTACAAGTTGACTGGAAATATCTGCAAAACCTTACATCTGTTTTTCTTCAAATTTTACTTCAAAATTTTTTTCAAAAATATTTCTTCAAATTTTACTCTATTAGGAAATTGACTTAACCTTGTCTAAAAACAATTTGGTAAATCTGTTAATTTTTGGAGCAAGTTCTGTTATAAACAAGAAGTTAAATATACATCCTTGTTGGTCGTCCTCTGATTCTCTCTTCCTGTGGCTTTATGATTTAGGCATATAGATGTCATTCTAAGGTCGAGTTTTCAATTAGTCAAGGATTGGATAAAAGGGTTATGAAAACCGTGGCTAAGGCAAGGTTTGGGGCCAGTCTCACTGTCTCAACTAATTGCCATCTCTTTTGCAGATGTTAGTTATGAAATGTCGATCATGAGCTACATAACATAACTTTGATTCTAACCATAATTTTTCAGGGTTATATTTTCAGAATTGGTTTAAAATTGTAGTCATTTGCTGTTGAATCACACATAAGGAAATTCAAAGAGTCTTTTGCCAAAGCTAACAATTCAACACTTTCAGGTAGGAAAGCAAATGAAACATATCTATATGTATATACCACCATGTTAAAAACTGTATGGTTCTTACCTTTAAGTACAGTGGGTAGAAAAGGTGCAAGTATGTGCATTAATTTAAGAAATCAACTTTTAGAGGGTGAATAAAGTTGGATTTAAATCTCCAGACTTAGGAAGTCTTTAATTAATTAATTAATTAACTTTATTAAAATTATTTTTATTTATTTACTTATTCTGTCCAGTATTTTATTTATTTATTTATTTTAATATAATTTATTGTCAAATTGGTTAACCTATAGTGTGTACAGTGTGCTCTTGGCTTTGGGGGTAGATTCCCTTGGGAACTCTTTAGATCTTAAAGAAGTTCCAAAGATCTAGACCAATTTTCTTATTACACACAAGGAAACAGATTCAAAGAAGTTGAATTACATTAAGTCATTGGTTAAACAGATTTATAGGACATTCTAAATATGAACTCAGGAGTGACGAAAGGTAGCAAGTTAACTTTGCTGTTGTAATCTTGGATGTCAACTAATGTTGATTGATTGCTCATTGTAGGTGCTTTTAGAGAGAAACTGCCAGTTCTTTCCTCGCATGAGTTTAAGTGGTAATATCAGCAGGATGTGTGGACTTATATAGTAGGGTATTTTTAGAGAGAGAAAATTGAACCAAAGCCACTTCAGAGAATACTGGTGAATTCAAATGAATAGTTAAATACGTTCATTAAGACAGAATAAAGAAACTATATTTACAAAATTACATAACTTTTTTTTTTAAGTTTATTTAGAGAGAGAGAGAGAGAGAGAGAGAGAGAGAGAGAGAGAGAGAGAGTGTGTGTGTGCGCGCGCGCATGTACACACAGGTGGGGAAGGGGCAGAGAGAGAATCCCAAGCAGGCTCCCTGCTGTCAGTGAGGAGCCCAACTGGAACTCAGACTCACGGACCTGTGAGATTGTGACCTGAGCCAAAACCAAGAGTTGGACGCTTAACTGACTGAGCCACCCAAGGGCCCCCAAATTATATAACTTTTAAAACATAGATTGGTTTATTTGAGATTGAGTATAATTTTTTTTTAATTTTTTTTCAACGTTTATTTATTTTTGGGACAGAGAGAGACAGAGCATGAACGGGGGAGGGGCAGAGAGAGAGGGAGACACAGAATCGGAAACAGGCTCCAGGCTCTGAGCCATCAGCCCAGAGTCCGACGTGGGGCTCGAACTCGCGGACCGCGAGATCGTGACCTGGCTGAAGTCGGACGCTTAACCGACTGCGCCACCCAGGCGCCCCATGAGATTGAGTATAATTTTAATGATGAAGATATGATTAATTATATGAAGTAAGAAACTTAATAGAAACTTTTAGGAAGGAAAATAAAACTTTGAAACTTTAATAAGAGAGGAAAAATGAAATGTGAAAAAATAATTTAATTTTATTTAAGAACTGGCTATCCATTTATCTCATTACCAAAACTTACTGTTGTCACTGTCTTTTCTTTTGTCTTCTTCCTTCCTCTACTGGTTCTCTCTGAAAAAGGCTCACGTTGTAGTGTGGTGTGATACAGTTCATGCAATTCTGGCTTTGTCACCAACGACCAGCATGGCCTTGCACTAAAAGTTTTCCTATTAAGACATACAAAAGTGAATGATTTTGAATTAGTTACGTCGATTTAGAGCTTTAGTTAAGGTACTTCATGAAAAAGGAGACTAGGTCTTGGATGTGACTATAGGATTGTTGAGACAATCAGATGAACTCACATGAAAATGTTCTAAAAACTGAAGATTTCACAAAGGCAAATGATATTGTTTTTATAACTATTGTTTTCAATCCAGCATGACAAATAGTTGAGTATCCAATATATCAGAACCAGGGTTGTGGACTTTTGAATTCAGGAAGATATAGTCCTTGCCTGTAAGATACGTTTAGTGTAATTTGGGGAAGAAAGAAATGAAATATATAATGCAAATGTCTACAGTGTATGACAGAATATGAAGAGGGTAATGAGAGGCTGACCCAGATTTTGGCTTAAGTTAAAGATCTACCCACCTGAATCTTCTCAAAGTCCTTAAGACTTGGTATGCTACAAGTGACAAATGAGCGTTTTGACCTTTTCTTATCTCCTGCTTTTTTGAGCCTTTCTTTAGGTAAGAGTGGACAGATTTTTAACTTATGTTGCAGTGTGATGAAAGTCTAAACTTGGGCTCTCTAATAGTTGCAGGTGGGAGCTTGTTGATTTTTTAGGTGTACAGACATGAATCAGTAGCTGAGTCAAAGTGCCACAAAGAATGTACAGTTTTAGATTTGATGAGTATTGTCAATGGGATAAGTTCTAGATTTTAACATCTGGGTTGGATACCTTGACAGGGACATAGATGATTAAAGTGAAACCTGGGAGCAACATTTATTCCAATCCTGTTGAAGATATCTTTTACAGGGTCCCAGAATTGGCTTGACTGTTTCTCATAGTAAGGAATCTATTATGTGATGAAGTACACTTTCTTATATGGGCTCTTGTGTTTGGAATTCTTTGTTTTTATCAGATCAAATAACCTTCTCCTCCATCTGCTGTTCTGTATTTTTTACATTTTATTAGGTAGACAACAGGCTTGAAACAGAAGAGAACCTGCTGATGGATAGCCAGAAACAGAAGAGGAGAATGATAGGTTCAGGAGGCAGATCAAAAAAGGAAATAGTGATAATAGCTAATACTTATTAACAGTGAAGTTCCAGGTGCTGTTCTAAATGCTGTTCTCATATAATAACAATTTATTGTATTGATATTTTAATATTAAATATTAGGTTAAATGAAAATTTAATGTTAAATGATAATAATAATTATCATTATTACAGACGAGGGAGCTGAGCTATAGTACTTTGCACAATGAGAGGCAGAGTCCACGCTAGTGGTATTTGGTTTTAAATACCAAACCCTAATGCTACCACATAATGTCTATTAGAGATAATCTGGAGGCCCTTTGGGGAAAAATTCTTAGCTTCCCCTTCTCCAGGTATGATACTTGTTAGAGATGAAAGATGAATATTTTAAGGCCATTAACTTGGTTGGAAGAGATGGGGTGGAAGAGGTGAAATACTGTAGAATTTATTCAACATTTTAAGATTGAATGAAGGTATCAGAAAGGAAGGAACCTGAATATGAATATAATCACTTTGCAAATCAGCGAGAAAGGGAATTTTGGTTATTATAATGACTAGGTTTTATGATGCTATATAGGCATGAAAGGTTGACATAGAAATAGTTTCATAAGAGCTTATGATTGAT